AGAAGGAGAGAGAGAATCCCAAGCAGGCCCCATGTGGAACCCCCACACGGTGCTCAATCCTATGGACCGTGGGACCATGACTGGAGCAGAAATCAAGAGTTGGTCACTTAACCACCTGAGTCACCAGGCACCCCAGCAGATGTGTGCTTCTGACTGTAATGGCAACGGTCAAGTTGCCCTCCAGACGGGCAGTTCCCACGTAGGATGGTCCCCGGCTCCTTGCTGCCTCACCAACACTTACTCTTATAACATGTTTTGGTCTTTTCAGTTCTGATAGAAAGATAGCGTTGTGCTGTATTTACATTTCTCTCATGGTACTAAAGGTAAGAAGCTTCTCGTATGTTTAAGAGCCATTTTTTAATTCCCTATCTGTGATGCTCCCCCATGTCCTTTGCCCATTTTGGAGGGCAGTTGGCAGACTTCTTGTGAGTTTGTAAAAGTGCTTATTGAATGACAGGAATAAACGTATGATTGAAAAGCTTTTTTAGAGAAAGAGCCACATGGCCTGAGCCCTGCCTGTGCCCTGATCCTCATCCTCTGCTCAAGGCCTCTGCTCAAGGCCCACTAAGGAACTGGAGGAGGCCCTGAGAGGAGGCCCTGGGACTGCCTGCTCCGGCCCTGACTCCAGATTGAAACAGCCCCTCCTAGGGAGGAAGGTCACATCAGCCATCGTGCAGTACAGACAGCAAGCCTGGTTCTGAGCTGCTGTGTGAGGCGCAATTCCAGGAGTGCATTTATGTGGGCTGTAATGTCAATGGTGCCCCCGGGAGTTAACGGTGGCCCTGTTGAGCCCAAGCAGAGCAAGCTATGGGCAGCTAAAACTGCTCTCTGAGTTCTCATTACTGGGCAGGACGTATCGCTTCCTGGCCACCTATTTCCAGGCAGGGCAAGTTTATATTCACGGGGGCACTGACCTACATCTGGGCAGAACAGGACAGACACATGGAGTGTCTATGTTGTTGTGTGTTTGGCTTCCTGCAGAGATTAGCTTCCCGGCCTCGCTGGTTCACCTGGAAGGGAGCGCCCACCATCCTTTTTCCTGGGGCAGGGCGGAAGCCTTAGGGAAAGCTTCAGATCTGAGAACAGACAGAAAGGGCCTGGGGAGACCTGAGTAGATCTGACTGCTGCTCTGGGCCTTGTGTGTGGCCCAAGTCCACAGAGAGCTGACAAGCAGGGACAGCTTGTCCAGTCTTAGGGTCCAGGGTATCCCTCAGCAGAAGCCCAGCAGTGCCTGGGGCTGCTGCCAGATGTGCAGAGGGAGCAACAGGCAGGAGTTTTTCACTGCCTTGCTAGGTGCTAACCCTTGACCGCCTCCCCAGCCACCTAGCCTGCCTGGGCAGCAAAGGGTGTGGGATTCCATAGGGAAGCCAGACCCCTTCTCTGTGTTTCCCAAGTAGCCAGCATGGAGGGGTGAGGGGATGTGGAAGGCTATGGCAATGAAAACAGAGTATCCTTGATGGCCTGGATAAAAGAGACAAATGGCCCACAAACCCCTCCCACGCCCCTTCCACACCCCTGCCCAGCCCCCAGACTAAGGATTTCATAACATTAAGAGCGTTGGCAGAGGCAGCTTCTGGAACCTGCCTCAAATCCCAAAGCTAGCACTGCTTAGTCAAGCTGTAGACCTGGGGCAGAGGTAATATTTTAGGTGCCTTGTCACCTGGCATGGAGAGTGAGGGCACCCTGGGCCTGGAAGGGAAGGAGCCGGAGTGTGGGAGTCAGGCCCAGGAGAGAGGAAGCATGCCCCTCACTGAAGTCCCAGTGAAAAGCCTCTGTTGCACCTGGGTAGAGTCTGACTCAGTAGCTGGTGCCCAATGCTTGCTTAGGGCTCAAGGAAGGCTGGTAGTTAGATTCCCGGCCAGGGGAGAAAGGCCAGAGCTGCTCTGGCTCTTTCTTAGAATTAGTGGGTGGTTCTGGGCTTATGTCTTGGGCTCTCTGAGACTCTCATCATCACTGTCCTATAGAAATGTCTGCAGTGATGGAAAAGTTCTCTGTGCCATCCAGTATGGTAGCCACCAGCCGCATGTGCCTTCTGATCACTTAAAATGGGGCTGGTGTGCCTGCAGGGGTGCGTTTTAAATTAAGTTTAATTTAATTTAATTTATTTATTTAAAAAAAATTTTTTTAATGTTTATTTATTTTTGGGAGAGACAGAGAGTGAGCAGGCGAGGGGCAGAGAGAGAGGGAGACACAGAATCCAAAGCAGGCTCTAGGCTCTGAGCTGTCAGCACAGAGCCTGATGTGGGGCTCGAACTCACAGACAGAGAGATCATGACCTGAGCCGAAGTCGGACACCCAACCGACTGAGCCACCCAGGCGCCCCAAATTAAGTTTAATTTTAATCAGTTGAAGTGTAAAGAGCTGCACGTGGCTAGTGGCTACCATTCAGAACAGCACAGCTCTGGTCCCTGTGCCTCATCAGCTTCTCCCAGCTCCCTGGGGACCTGGAACAGTGGGAGGGGATTAGCTGCATTAGAGACAGAAGCTGGTCCCCTTGTGATTTCAACAAACCCCAGTCTTGTGATAAAGTCCATGAAGGTCAGAAGCAGTCCTGGAAACAGCCTACTCCTACTCTTAGATTTAAAAAAATTTTTTTTTAATGTTTAATATTTATTTATTTTTGAGAGAGACAGAGTGCAAACGAGAGAGGAGCAGTGAGAGAGGCTCACTACAGAATCTGAAGCAGGCTCCAGGCTCCCAGCTGTCAGCACAGAGCCCAACGTGGGGCTCGAACTCAGGAGACATGAGATCATGACCTGAGCCGAAGTGATGCTCAACTGACTGAGCTACCCTGGCACCCCTTTGAGATGCATATGAGCACGTTAAATAAAAGCTCTGTCAGAAGAAACTCATTTGGTTCTATTTAAGCTCAAATTTTCCAAATGTATTTGACTACAGTATATACATATATACATATATATATATATTTTTTACTACGGTACGTTGTTATATGGCACATCTACTGAATGCTTTTTTTTTAATGTTTTATTTATTTCGAGAGAGAGAGAGAGAGAGACAGCGTGAGCAGGGGAGGGTCAGAGAGAGAGGGAGTCACAGACTGAAACAGGCTCCAGGCTCTGGCAGTCAGCACAGAGCCCGATGCGGGGCTCAAACCCACGAACCACGAGATCATGACCTAAGCGAAAGTCGGACGCCTAACCAACTAAGCCACCCAGGTGCCCCTACTGAATGCTTTTGAAATGCTGGGGAAGGGGCTAGACTCCAAGAGAAACGAGGGCTCCCAAATGGAGCTCCCCCTGGTTCCTGCACCTGTGTGTAGGAAACGCCAGAGCTCTTGGTTAAAATTGAACATTTCTCTGGGTTGTCACAGCCCTTCCAGGCCTGGCCAGGAACCCAGCAGAGGCCTTGAGAGGCCCCATCCCTGTGTCCACTACCCCGGATGTGGCAGCTATGAAGCCTGGGACAGCTCCTTCCCACTCTGTTCACTGGCCTTAGAGTGTGGGGACATGGCCTCTCTGTGGGGAGGGCAGAGGGGGCCCCCATTTCGTGTCTTTTCAATCCTATGGCTTTGACCACGGAGGCTGGACTAGGAGAAGCTCTATCATTGTTCCAGTGTCTCAGCTGTTTGGACCATGATGAGAAAAGAGAAGCAGGCAAGGTGTATGTCAGGTGCTCTGCTCCTTTTGCCCAGGTAGGCATTTTGGAGGTCAAGGCCCAGAGCAGACTGGGACTTGCATCCCCGAGCCCCTGCAAGGAGGGTCCAAGAGCTCCTGATGCAGATGAGTTGTGCTTCTTGGGATGAAGTTGTCCCCAGCAGAAGGCTGCCTGGGTGGCTCAGTCTGTTAAGCATCCGACTTTGGCTCAGGTCATGATCTCGTGGTCAGGGAGTTCAAGCCCTGCATCAGGCTCTGTCTGCTTTGAATTCTCTGTCTCCCTCTCTCTGCTCCAACCCCGCTCATGCTCTGTCTCTCTCTGTCTCTCAAAAATGAATAAACATAAAAAAAAAGTTTTAAACCAAGCAGCAAGGCAGCCATAGCCTACCCACGGCTCCACTGGCCCCAGTGGTCTGGGATCACATGGCGCTTATCAATAGGGCACCTCAGTGGGCCCGGAGCTTCGGAAATAGCAAAGTAACAGTTACTCTCAAAGGAGGTAGGGGATTCCAGGTGGGGAATGTTTCCCACAGCGTTTCTCAGAATAGGGGATGGCCAGCAGGAGAGGGGCTGCTGTGGCCACTTTCTATCCCTCTCTGGAGGGTTCTATCCCTCTTGGAGCAGCGGTAAGAGCGCCCTCACCCCTACTCCACCCAGAACTGTGTGTGTGCAGGTCTTTGCCTTGTATGGAGGCCCATTCTCTCCTGCCTACCCTACTGCTCTGAGCCTGATAGGAAGGACATTAGTGGGAATTCTGGAACGCTTCCTTTGGATGACTTTGGAAACTCGGAAGTCATATCCGGGAGACCTGGTCAGGCCCTCTGGGCGATTACAGGTCTGTAGGGCCCGGGACTAGATGGGATTCTCAACTCTGCCTTGTGTAGCACCCACCTGGCCCAGCCTGGAGTCCCTCGGCCTGGCCTGTTTCCTGTGGTGTACACACACACACAGGGTGATGGTGGTTCTGTGGGTACTGTTCACAGGGGACACACGTAGCTGTGCTGGGGACACACACCCATGCACACGTGTTGTCATGGCATACACCTTCCTCAGTAGTCCTGGTAAATCCAGCCTGATGAAGACTAGGCGGTGATCTTACCCACCATAGAGTGAATGGCTTCCCCCAGGGGATTTGAAGCAGGTTCCATTTACATCTAACTTTGCAGCACAATCCAGTGAGGTGCACCTGTGCTTCGATGACTCACATGTGCCATCAGGTTTGCCAGGGGCCAGGGCAGCTGCCATTCCCAAAGATGGCAGTTCACAGGTAGATTTATGACTCAGGATAAGGAATCCATAAATCACCTTTATCCCCTGGAAGGATGATTGCGCAGGAGCTTGAAAGAGGCCTTTGCTGCAGGTGTCTCTGGCAAAACCTGGTCAAATCTGGAAACCATCCGACAGGGAAATTCCAGCAATTCTGCTGGTCCCTGAGAAGAGGCAAAGGCTGCAAACAGGAAAGAAGGTAAGAATGAAAATCCCTGATAACCTAAGGCCTGGTAGTGAATGTCCTGAAGAGACCATCCATGCTGTTAGTACAGCACCTCTGTTTGTTCTGGGTTGGGGGCGGGGGACAAAGGGGAGATCGGTGAGGGGAACAGGCAGAGCTATGAGGTCTAGGGTCTGTGCTGGAGATCGCCCTGAGAGACCTGCACATCTTCTAGATGAGGACACAGAGCCGGAAAGCTCAGGACGTTTCCCAGGGATTGAGCGGCACGTGAGGGGCAAATCCCAAAGCTGGTTTTCTGAGCCTGCCCCCACTGTTGGAACTTCTACGCACAGCTCCCCCTCCAAAACAGAGAGAAGCCCAAGACACTGACTCAGAGGCCGCCGTGGCAGTTTTGCTGATAAATTCTTTGTTTTGAAGTGAGACGTTCGGCCTCCATTAAAGTCTTTAGGAAATTATAGTGATTTTGACTTTTTCAGACATGTTTGAATTACTCACAGTCTGGAATTCCCAGGCAGGGGGTGAAACCCAGAGAGGCTTCAGAGAAGTTGGGGACACAGAACTTGGAGTCAGAGGAATCTGAGTTCAAATCCCCACTCTGTCACTTGCCGTGTGAGTAAACTTCTCTGGACCTCGGTTTCCTCACCTGGTGTTGGTAACTAACAGGTGCACTTAGTGCAGAGGTTGGGGGGCGGGGGGCAAAATAAAATCAGAAGCAGAGAGAGAGTGGCCTCTGGAGGCAGGAGTAAATGGGCACTGGGGTCATTCACTGCCCACTTGATGGAGCAGGAAGGCTAGGATCTTGGTCAGTAAGCACAGAATCAGCCAGAATCACTGAGGCCTCGAGCTCAGCCTTATCAATCAGGAGGTGGGCTGCCTGACTTCAAATCCAGCTTTGTTGCTGACCTGGGGCCAAAGGGCTTTTTCTTTCTGGGGCTGTTTCCCTGAAGGAAAACTGAATGGGGATTAGGACAGTACCGGTCTATTGCAAAGACCTGCCCGTTCAGTGCTAAGAACTGAACAGTGCCTGCCATATACTTGGTGCTCATAGATGCACGTTTTTGCCACTGTTCTTTCATTTTATCCTCTTCTTTCTGCCTGTACCTGTGTTTTCTGCAGGGTAGCAACTGCTCATGTGACTACAGAGTTAGTGGAAGCATTTTCATAGCTCTGTTTCAGCCAAATATGGTGCGAATTTGCACTTCGCTTGTTCAGTATGTGGCCGAGCCTTCGCCCAGTCTGTTCCTAGCCAGGAAATCCTTACTTCTCCATCCCCACCTATCAGCATCTTTCCAAGCCCCAGGGTGCAAGACTGGGAGATGAGCTTTCCTGATCTCACTGGTCAGAAACATTCATTGAAAGTCTAACAAATATTTACTGAGTGCCTACTTCTGTCCGAGCACTGTGCTAGCTAGCGTCAACCCCTCCATTCTTTTTTTCCCACCCCGTGTCTGTACTTGAGCCCTTATTTATTCCACCCTGTCCTAGCATTAATTTTCTCTCTAGATTTTAGATAGTGAAGGGCCTTATAAACTTGTATAAGCTTCCCTGGCCAGTTTGTGCCCCGGCAGCCTCTCTGTCCTGGACTTTTCTCCCAGAGCACAGTCCCACCCAGGGAGCAGATGCGTTAGCCTCCCATCCCCCAGCCAAGGGCAGATGCATCGGAGCATGCTCAGAAGGACCACGGGGTACCACCATCCAGTTGGGGGTTCAAAGCCCTTGTGAGGTAGCCCCCAAAGGAAGATGAAAGCTGAAAACTGTTATTGTAAGTGTGTCTTCTCCTCTGTGGGTTGCATGGGGATCAAAGTCTGAAGGAAGTGGAAGGTTGCTCTCTGACAAAAACACCGTATTTTTAGAAGTACTCGGTGGTTTAGGATGTTTGCCCCAGCGCTGCCTTTCAGTGGCAGGGGGTGGGGCTGGGGGTGGAGGCCCAGGGCTCCCACCTCAGCCGAGGCTAGGTGGGAGTGGGTTTCCTGGCAGAGGCTGAGGGTGGAGGCTGAGGGTGAGAGGATATGGTCCATCATCACGTAGCCAGTTGTCCTGGAGACCAGAGCCACCAGGCCATACAGTTGAGGGGGGTGGGCAGGGGGCTGTGAGGCCTCTGGCTCCATCTCCTCCCTTCAGAATTGGGAACACTGAGGCCCAGAGAGGAGCAGAGGCTTGGCCAATGTCCACCACCGCCCCCACCCACCCACCCCACTCCCATCTGGGGATTGAGGACGTGCACACATGAAACTGTTAGAGAACAATGCATGTATTCTGCAATCAGAGCTAATTGGTGTGGTTCAGAGGAGGGGGAGGAGGGATGCCAGACGTTTGGGAGCAGGACATCGGTGGGTCTCTGCATGAAATGTCCAGGAATAGTCCATGGAGAATGAGAATAGCTCGCAGGGCATGGGAAAGGTTAAACTTGGGCAGGTAGGAGGGCCGTGTGGGCAAAGGCTGGGAGGTAGAAACTAGCTGGGCCTGAATGTGGGGTATTTGGGGAGGGAGGGCACAGCAGGGCAGGAGACGGGAGGCCACCTGCCCATGCTCCCAGCCCTTCAGAGCCTGCATCACCAGCTCCTACTGAACCTCATTTTCAAAGGCGACTGGGAGAGGTGAACTGGGTAAGCCCCTGCACTGAGAGGGGAACAGAGAAAGGCATGCTGGGGGGCTGCCCAGCCCTCCCCACCCTCCCCAGTGCCTCTACCTTATAATCAGGGTGGCCCTTCCTTAATGTTTATGCCAAACTCCCAAACAGCCAGGCTGGGATGCTGAGCTATAATTTATATCATTTTTCATATGGGTTCTGGGCTCCAAAGGCTCAGACTTCTTCAAATGGGAACCACATTGGAGAAGGGGTAAACCAAAAGGATGGAATGTTAAGAAATCTGGTCCCAGGAAGCCACCTGCTTCTCATTTGGGATGTGCTTCGGTTTATTGTGGGTTTCCAGGGCCCAGCTGGGATTCAGAGGTGGCAGGCCAGCCGTGGGTCGCTGCCCTTGCCCGGCATCGGTGCCGAGGCTGGGGCGAGCCTCTGTCATGAGTCCTCACAGCCTCCGGTGTGCCCCCACGCGAAGCTCTGTGAAGGAAGTTGGGAGCACACTGCTCTTTGTCCTTGCCTGTCCCCACCGAGCGAAGCCAGCTGGAGCCAACCGAGTCTGGGCAAATTCCCAATAGGCTGGCGCCACAGGCTAGTTCAAGGGAGTGAGGGCTCTGGGCTCCCACATGCACTGCTTCTCACAGATGGAGAGTCAGCGCACCAAAGCAGGCCAGGTGGCAGGCTGCAGCGACGATGAGGGGCCCCAGCTGCGTACAACAACGCGTATGGGTCTCGAACACGTGGTGTCAAACGAGACAAACTGAAAGAATGGGTATGATTGATTCCATTCATATAAAGTTCAAAACCAGGCAAAAACTAATTCTTCTCCAGTGTTAGAGGAAGTAAGCTCAGGGGGTAAAAGGAAAGTTGGAAGGGTTTGCCCTCAAATCTGGGATAGAATGGTGAGCTTTGGTGAGGAGAGAGGGGACGGGGTCGGGCAGGGCAGGGGGCATGATTCCCGGGGCAGGCCACCTGCTAGTTCTTGATCCTGGAGGTGCTAGTGGAGAGTTCACCCAAATTCCTTATGCTGTTCGTGCATGTTTTGCATCCTTTTCTGAATGTGTTATCTCTCACGATAAAAAAAAAAAAAAAGGTTAAGAAAACAAAAGCAGAGTGAATGAAATGACGGAACTTGGCCCTTGCTGCCTTACCCAGGTTGCCTCTTCTCTCCAATACTCTTTTCTCCAAGGGTCCTGGTGCCTGTGATTAGCCCCCTCCCCAGTGTCCCACCCAAACTGGCTCAGGCCCAGGCCTTCTTTGGCACCCAAGGGGTCTCAGGCCAGGGAGGCTTCCTGATCCTCAGAGAGCCCGGAAGCTCAGGAGTTGCGGGCCCCTTCTGTGTGGTCTCCGGCCATTCTAGGACTGCCTGCAGGCTGAGTAAATGGGCCAGCGGGCCTCTGTGGATGGCCTCCCAGTAGCCTCTGGCAGCAGGCCCGCCGTGACAATATCAGCTCTCTCTGAGGGACACCCTGGAGTACCTGCCCTGTGAATGAAAGGCAGATCTATAGAGCATGCATGCTTTTTGAAAAACAAATCTCTGATCTTCAAAGTTCTCTCTTCACTCTGTTTATTTTCTTCAAGGAGGACTATTGATAGATGAAGGTAGCTATTGCCTTTCAAAGGTAAAAGGAATCCCTCAATGTCGGTGTTGAGAAACCATGTAAGAAAATAAATTCTGTGTGTGGCGGGGGGGCGGTTCTGGGAGGGAGGGGGCTGGGCTCTGGGGGCTGGCTTCCTCCTCTTCCTTGTTTCTGGGGGCAGATGACTCCCCCCAAGCCACCCAGGCCTCCCGGCTCTTCCACAGACCTTTCAGGTGAGAAACTTTCCATTGTTGCCTTATCTAGCGGCAGTCCGCCTCGCCTCCTTGCAGCGACCACAGGTGCGCACAGATCTGAGGCCCTGATCTGTTCCACTCTCTTTGTGCCAAGCAGAGCTGGGGACGCGAACCCCAGCATGAAACGGCGCCCACAACCGCAAGGCCGGGTGTGCGCCCTCTGAAACTGTAGGTAAAGACAATTACCGGCAATTTCCATAGCATGGTTTGTTTTTTGTTCAAAGCCCATGGAGGTATTCTCAGCAGCGGGCCCGAAATATATAGTATTCCCACCGCATGCCGCCCTCGTAAATGTGCGATAAAAGCTGTGGTCGCTTTGTCCCGGCTCTTCCTTTTAACAGTCAAACCTTCGAGTTTGATGGTGAAACTGCTTTTTTTCTTAAAGTGTACTTTGATGGCTCAGATAACGCTCCATGATAAGGAGCTGTCTTCAAAACCACTCACTGTACCTCGTGCTCACCATTAGGATGCACGTCACAAGGGAAAATCAGGTGCCCGAACTTATGAGAAGTGGGATAGGAATGTGCTGACTCTGAATTTTTCTCTCTGCTGCATGTGTTGGAGATGATGCAGAAAGAAAGAAAAGAAAGAAAGAAAGAA